AGAGGTGAGGTTGGGGAGTGGAGCAACCAGAGAAAAGCAAGGGGGTCTGAACTCTGAACTCTAGAATAAATATCAGTGAAATGATGAAGCCATGATCTAGAATTTGACAGACATTTTTCAGACTGCTGGAAACAGCATTTCCTTGCTTCAGAAGTGTCCCCCCCCCTTTCTGAACTTCCTAGATTGAACAGGAGTCCCGTAGCGCTTCAAAGATTGACAACATTTATTGCAGCACAAGGTAACTTCTCTAGACATATGGAACCTCTCACAATTTTGAAATATTTGTTTGGACTCCTGGAACAGAGAGGCAGAATGTGGGGGGAGGGAAATTAATCCCCCTTCCACTGCTTTCCCACTCCGTCCTGAAACTATTTTTTCTTTCAAACACAAGCAAATAAAACCCCTCACTCTTAAACGTCTCATTTTAGGAGTGCTTTTACTCATGTTTGTGAATAACATGTGGTTAGGTGAGCAGTCATCTATGTTTCTAAGTTAAAAACAGCAAACCTATTTAGACTGCCCATGAAGGGAAGATGCTCCAGTCCCTCAGACATTTTATTTCTAAGTAGTTTCTTTCAGGTCTGTCTCCTTCTTCAGATCTGGCATCCAAAATGCTACACAGTATTCAAAATATGAGTGATCATAAATTTCTTCAATGGAATAGGATACCTATGACCAGCGCTTTCTTTGTAGAAAAAGCCCAGCAGGAACTCATTAGCATAATAGGCCACACCCAACAACAGGAACTCATTAGCATATTATGTCACACCCCCACGCCTTCCCTTGGCTTGCATGGTTGCCCCGTGGCTGCAGGGAGCCTGGGCAAGCCGGCCCTTGAACAGGCTGGGGAAGGTACAGGGAGGCATTTAAATGCCTTCCTGATCCTTCCAGGGGCCCCCTTGGCCCTCCCGCCTCAGAGTCACCAGGGGGGGTCACTTACCCCTGTAGCCACGAACACAGAGGTTTTGGCTATCACGGGCATGGCCAACTCTGAAGCCAGTCGGAACTCCATTACTGTGCGTTCCTGCCCAAAAATAGCCCTGCTTATGACATTATTTTCCATTCCCTCTTGATGATGATGATGATGATGATGATGATGATGATGATTAGTCTGCCTTTCTCACTGAGACTCAAAGTGGATTTGCACAATGTAAATCAATGCAATCAATAGGAGACATCAAATGTAACGAGACTAGGAACTGTAGAAATTCGCAATGGAGCTGTCCTTCTGTTTCGCATCGTTCTTGAAATAACAGGAATGTGGGGAACATCCTAATCTCCTGAGGCAGGCCATTCAAATATGAATATTATCAGACTTGCTATGTGTTCTTTAACTGAAAAAAACTTCTTTACACAGTCCTGGGAAAGATGAGATATGCCATAACTGCATGAAGCAATTTTAATATGTTGGAAGGATGATGCTTTCTAAGGAAGGACTGGTAATGTTCTGAAGCCCATAATACATCATTTTCTTCTTGTGTTCCTTGTTTTGGGGCGTGGAATGATTCAGCAGACATAGAACCGACAAGGACGTTTACCAGCTAGCAGAGTTATGGGTCTGCCAGGAGAATTGCTGTAATAGACCTGACTTTCCCAAAAGTTGGTCACTAACTCACTGGCTTAGGGTTAGGGAGGAGGGCTTTCATTGAGTTTATACAAGCACAGTGCCTCCTGTGCTCTCTTTTGGGTTGCTCTTGCTAGGCACAGGGGCCAATATTTTGTTTGCATTGGTCGGCAAAAAAGCAGGCAATGTTGCATAGTAGTAATCAATGTTCCCTCTAAGCTGTGGAGTCTTGTGAGCAGAAATTTTACTTTGTGAGCTGCTGGCATTAAAGTTGTGAGCAAGCGATTTGGCCACTGCATAAATTAGTTTGTTCTGGAGCCATCCTTCCTGAGCTAAGACAAAAATGTGTGAGCCAGAGGCTAAAAAACTGTGAGCTAGCTCACACTAACTCAGCTTAGAGGGAACACTGGTAGTAATCATGCCGATTACTAATGGAGTTAATGGGTTTTTCCACACTTTTTTTTGTCACTTGTGTGCCTGTGCTGCATTGAGGTTTTTCCCTTTTTTGCCTGTGTTTTGATCCTTCTAGTGGCCGCTTTGATACTTCATCAGTGTATCTCTGGTTTATTTCCCTGCACTTTAAAAGTGCTCTGTATTCTGTAATAAACAGTGATAAACTGGTGAACTAGTGAAGTGACCATTAGAAGGAGCAAGTTATGAAATAACACATGCATACCATTGCTGTCACGGCAGGGCCAGGGAGCGTGGGGCAAACAAGCAAAGTCCAAAGCCAGTCCGAGATTCAGCCGAGCAGGTCAAGCAGCACAGTTCAAACAAATCCAAATCAGTTCCCAAAGCCAGCGTCAGACATACCAGAAGTCAAAATCCATAAATCAAAACGAAGCCAGGCGGGAATGCACGGAGCGTCTGGTCCTGTCAATCGAAGTTGCCAGCACAAAGCTCTGCCAGCAGCAGGTTTGCTGATATAGCGTGCTGGCTCATTATCTTGTTATCTCTTGCTGAGCAAGGTCATGCTTCTGCTAATACGCAGGGCTGAACGAACGTCTGCCACGCATGCGTGCGGCTTTCCTTCTTTCGTTCAGCTCCCATCTTCACTGACTCCTGAGCTGGTTCACAGGTGGCGGCGAGTCGGGGGGTGAATTGTCTGTGGTAAGCAGAGCCTGATCCGGCGCAGGTGTCTCTTGGGAGGCTCTATCCTCCTCAAGACTTAGAGAGTCTTCTGCTAAAGGAGCCAGTTCCTGGCATTAAGTGTCTGCTTCTGGATGTTCCTCAGGGGCTTGTGGTGCCAACTCCACGTGCTCCTGGCTGTCAGGTGCTTCATCAGGCGCAGGCATGACAATTGCACAATTGTTTGCTAATATTCTAATGCAGTGGCACAACCCGATGAAAAGTGGTAGAGGAACAGATGAAAAATCACCTATAGATTTCCACTGTCAAACAGGATATCAGCCCAGCCAGGAGGTCTTAGGGTATTACTAATTAACATATTTTAGGGTATCAGTAATTAACATGTAGACAGAATCTCTAAAAAGTAGTTTCCATAGGCTGTGCCCTTGGTACAGCAGGGAGCTGGATTTTGTAGGCCTAGACTCAAATCACAATTCATAAAAGAGTTATTATTATTATTATTATTATTATTATTATTATTATTATTATTATTATTATTATTATTATTATTATTATTATTATTATTATTATTATTATTATTATTATTATTATTATTATTATTATTATTATTATTATCATATGTCAGCATGTATAGCATAGCGAGGAGAGCCTAAGATTTTCTGGCAGATAGAAGTTCTAGCTCTTTTAGTGTTATGCACCACTAGGTGGCGAGGTAGACTTTTTAAAGCACAAACTGTTTCAGAGGTGGTTTACTATTGCCTGCCTGTGCATCACGACTGTGGTATTCCTTGGATGTCACCCTTCCAAATACTAGATAAGGCCAACCCTGCTTAGCTTCCGAGATCTGATGATATTGGGCTAGCCTTGGCTAATCCAGGTCAGGGCATAAATGAGAGTTACTGACTGATCATGGAAAATTCACGGTCCCTCATCCCCCAGAATACTGCTTTGGTGTCAGTTGCTCCCTATTCATTGCCTGCTATTCGTTATTCCTGACTTTTACAGATGATGAACAGTGATGCATCATGGAAACACCTTAACCAAAGCAACCAAGGAGAATTCATCTTATTGGGAGTGGCTGACCGCCCTCGCTTGGAGAAGTTGCTCTCTGCTGTCATCCTGATCTGCTATACAATGACCTTGCTTGGAAACACGACCATCATTGTAGTGTCAAGGCTGGATCCTCGTCTCCACACCCCCATGTATTTCTTCCTCAGCAACCTCTCCTTTCTAGACCTCTGTTACACAACCAGTCTCGGGCCCCAGATGCTGGTGAATTTCTGGGGAAAACGAAAGACCATCAACTATGTTGCCTGTGCAGTCCAGTTATATGTCTCCCTTGGTCTGGGCTCAACAGAATGTCTTCTATTGGCAGCCATGGCTTATGACCGCTATGCAGCAGTCTGCCAACCCCTGCGCTACACTACCATCATGAGCCATTCCATATGTTTCATAATGGCTGCTATCTCCTGGGTAAGTGGCTTCAGCCACTCACTAGTGCAAGCAACAATGACCCTGAGACTCCCTTTGTGTGGACACAACAGCATAGACCATTTTTTCTGTGAAGTACCGGCTCTGCTCAAACTGGCATGTGTGGACACTTCAGTCAATGAGGCTGTTCTGTTGGGTTCCAGTGTGGTCATCCTCCTTCTCCCCCTGAGCCTCAGCATAGTATCTTATTGCTACATCACAACAGCTGTGTTGAGGATCCGCTCAGCCGAAGGCAGGCGCAAGGCTTTCAACACCTGTGCCTCCCATTTCACTGTGGTGTTTCTCTTCTATGGCTCAGGCATTTTTAGTTATCTTCAGCCTCCTTCGAACTACTCCCGTGACCAAGGCAAGCTGATGTCCCTGTTCTATACCATGGTTGTTCCAATGCTTAATCCATTAATCTACACGCTGAGGAACAAAGATGTCCACAGAGCTCTAAAAAGAGTAATGGGCAGGGAACCAAAAACTTAGTCCAGTGATTCCAAAGTCCATTTCTAGAGGATCATCTGAAGAAGTGAGCAGTGACTTGTGAAAGCTCCTACCCTGCTACGTATTTTGTTAGTCTTTAAGGTGCTACTGGACTCTTGCTCTTTTCTAGAGGATCAGTAGTATCTCTTTTCTAGAGTAGTATCTCTTAATAAATAAATTACAACAACTAATTATAACTCACTTTCCCACCTTAATTGCTCAAAGCAGTTTTCTTGAAACTAAATATACCATGAAATCTCTAAAATAAACTTAGGAATCAGCGAAAGTCAAAATAACATGATTTAAATCAGATAACCCTGCAGTAATAAATGTATAGGTGAATCATAACCACAGTAAGGAACCAGAACTGAAATGAACCTACCAGGAACAACTCAACCAGAAGAAGAATTGGATATGAATAGAAAGTTCTTCTCATTGTGCCTAAACACTAGCACCCTTGTGTTCGGTAGAACTCTCTGGGAAGAGTGTTTCACTTTCAGTGATATGGTATCGCCACAGGAAAGAACACCAGACTAATAAAAGTACAGATGAATCATAGCCATAGTGAGGAACCCAAGTAAAAAAACCTTTCCAAGAACAACTCAGAAGAAGAACGAAATCAAAAGTGCTTCTCAGGGGACGTGAATGTAAAAACTCTAAGGAGAGCCAGTGTGGTTAGACTACCATACCAGGATCTGGGAGACTTTGATTCAAGTCCACGGAAGCTTGCTGAGTGACCTTGCACCAGGCACACTCTCATCCTAATGTACCTCACAGCGTTGTTCTGAGGACAAAATGTTTTTTCTCCCCTCAGAGTCTGTAGTGCCTATTTCAAGCTCAGTTCAAAGGGTCTCAGTGCTCTGGTTATTTCACCCTATGCCTGCTCACCCAACCATGCTTTTGGGTATGTGTTATATATTGGGATTGAATCATCCCTGATTGAATCACCCCAGAGACTGGCTGATCTTGGAGCACAAGAACAGTAGCTGACCAGGACTCTGGAATAAACCAATCAGGTGGTAATGTTTTGTAAATAACCTATCACGGGGGGGGGGGGGCGGGGAGCGTCAGCTTGTTCATGGCAGACGCAATCTAGCTTTGCTCTGAAGCGATCCTCCGAACTCCTCAAAAAACGAAGCCTTCAAACAACAGAAACTCTAAAAATAATATGGGAAAAAGCGACGAGAAACGCCTGAAGCCAGGAGATTCGCAAACAAACAAACCAAAACCCCTTTTTAACACCCCAAACGCTAGCGAAACTACCGGCCAAGCGAAAATGAATGGGGACAAAATGGCGACCGGAGAAAAGAAGAACACCACAGAAACACAAACATTAACAAATAGCCTATCACGGAGAGTGGGTATGTGTGGGGTGGGGTGTTTTGCATGCATATAAGCAGGGCTCCGGCCCTGCTAGAGTTGTCTTAGAGTTAAGCTGAAATCACTAATAAACTATGAGCTGATCACTATACGCATCTCGAACCCAGTATATTGCAGTATGTGAAAGAGATCCCTTTGATAAGCAGCACCAGTTAAGTAAAAAACTTCCACTTGGTGGCCGCCTTGAACAGGTTCATACAAGGGAGAGGATGGGGCCACTATCTGGTGTGAGAAATTTGCCAACCTCTCACAATCACCAGGCAGGTTAAAGGCTATTCCAGTGGTATCAAACTTATTTGTTACGAGGGTTGGATCTGACATACATGTAACTTTGTCAGGCCAGGCCATGTGTGCCATAAAATGCAATGTTGGGTACCGGAGATATAAACTTTATAAAAGACAGCAACTGGTAAGCTCCAAGTTGGTGTGTCCTCACTGCAAGGCCCCATGAGCTGGGAGGGGGGTGCAGAGGAAAACCCACATGGGTGGACTGGAGAGCCAGCAGTGCAATGCAGTGCACTGCTGGACAGACGCTCCCAGGCCCCAACAGAGGATCATCTGCAGACACCCCCATATGCAAATACTGATCCCTGAGGCCATCTGGGACAGCATCCCTGGAGCTGCAGACCAAGTTGAGAAGTATGAATGAGCTGCAGTGGCTCCCACCTTACCAGTGAGTCTGTCTCTGAAGTGAAGGGGTCCTGCTTGACTGCTGCAGATGAGGTTGTTCCACTATGCTGAAGCTACAATTGGAGTGGCTCCACTCCCCCGCCCCCAAGCAGTCTCCTGTTCCCTCCCTTGCACCAGTTGCTCACAGGCCACATAACAGCCCCAGATGGGCCAGTTCTGGCCTCCCGGCCCTATGTTTGACACCCCTGGGCTATACTGTGATACACGGAGAATACAATTGGCCTAATAGTCACAATCTCTTCTACTGGTACTGGGATGATATTTGTGTCCCAGAATTTACTGTCAATGTAGGTGCCAACATATGCAATCTCAACCACCCATAAAGGACAACTTCCCCTTATACTGCTGCACCAGATTAAGCCAAAAGTCAACACTTCATCGAATACTGGGGTTGCCAACTCTGTGTTTGGAAACACCTGGAGATTTTGGGTGTGAAGCCTGGGGAAGGCAGGATTGGGGGGGGGGGGTCATTGGTATATAATGCCCTAGAGTCCACCCTCCAAAGCAGCCTTTTTTCTCCAAGGGCATTGATTTCTGTCATCTGGGGATCAGTTCATTTGTAATACTGGGAGATCTCCTGGCTCCACCTGGATATTGGCAATCTGAGCCAATACCCACCTCAGCTCTCTCATTAACATGCTTTGATATCTTCCACAGACCTTTTTCTCATAGAAGGAGCTATGCAAATCTCCTTTCTTGGCCAGAGACAATTATAGCTTCCAAGGGGGGTGGGGGGAAGCTGTGTGGGGAGACTGGCACGTTGGTGGACTTCTGGATTGACGCACGTCTTTGATTGACTGCTCAGCAACCTCTGCGGCAACAGCTTCCTCGAGTGCGGTTTGAAAGGTAAGCTTTTTCGTGGCAAAAAGCTGCCGTTGCAGTTTCTCATCCTGAAGGCTGCCGACTAGCCTGTCTCTGAGTCTGTCATTTAAGTCCGTAAAGTTGCACTGCCGCGCTGTCTTCCTAAGGGTCATCACGTCATCAGCAACTGACTCGCCTTGGGCCTGGTCACGCTTGCGGAATGCGTGTCAACATGCAATCTCGGAAGGTTTCGGTGGAGAATGTTCACGAAGCTTAGACTTTATTGTGGTGAAGTCGGTCGCCTTGAGTTCAGCTGGCACCACTAATGTCTGAGCCACGTTGAAGATGTGTTTTCCACAGACGCTGAGGAACGTAGCTTTCTGGAGATCTGCATCAGATCTCTTTTGAGCAGCCATGTAGAATTCAAACTGGGAGACGGAGGTGTCCCAGTCCTCTGGAGTTGAGCTGAATGGTTCAAAGTGGCCCTTTGTGGCCATCGTAGTTCCACGCTGGGGCAGCAGGTTATGGTGCCCTGCTTGTTATTCCGGTGGGCCAATGTAGTTTGCCGGGGTTCAAAGAAGACACGACACAAACAGCTTCTGCAGAAAGCTGACTGACTGAATGAATCCTTCAATGAATCCTCTCACTCACCAGCTATATTTATTTTAAATCCGTCTCCTCCTTTCCCCCTCCCTTTCATACATTACAGCATCCTGTCATGAGACATGAACTAAGGAGTGTGTGTGTGTGTGTGGGTGTGGGTGTACAGGCAGCTGTCTGTTATCTCTCTCTCCCCCTCTGCCAAGGCCAAACTGACTGCGTCATTAAGCAGTAAACAGATTCCATCTTGGGCTCTCAGTATGTATATGCATTTCAGTTCCCAATCTCCAGCCAGGAGAACAGGAGAGCAGTGAATTCTTCACTGTGCCTACAGGCCAAGGCAACAATTCCTTGCCTGCTGCAGTGATTAGCTCAGGTTCTGTGGGTCTGCCTACCTACCCACTCGATCCCATCCTCATTGCCAGTATTATGTACTTATATTGCTCAGAAAGCAGTCAATTTTTGATAGGCTGGTTTGGCCTAACTGTTTTCAGTTATTTAATTGCCATTAAATATACAAAGAACGTCCTGTTCATTGGCTTTCATTTTTTTTGGCTTGGGAATTTATTTGTACAACAACGCCGCCACTGAAGACTGGGATGCATAGATCTCCGGGTTCCAGTTCTACCTCATCACAAATGAGATCACCAATCATGAGATCGTCAAGGCCACATTCCTCAGCCTCTGTGGGCGCCCCACCTTCAAGACCACCTGAGCTCTCATGGTGCCACAGGACCTCACCCCCATATCCTTCAACATGCTCAAGGGCAAACTGAAAGATGATTTCTTGCCTCATCCCTCCAGAATTGCCTGCCAGCACACCTTTTACAAAAGGGACCAGGCACCAGGAGAGTTGATTGCTGCCTTCGTAACCACCCTCTGAAAGGCATTGCTCCAGTGTGGCTTCCACAACATGGAGGAGGACCTCTGAGATCATTTGGTGTGTGGCCTCCGAGATGAGAAACTGCAGTGTCAGCTCTTCATGAAGCACAACCTCAACTTTAAGACAGCCTACGAGGCCATCGCCACCGAGGCAACACAACATTTGACTAAAGAGGCCTGGCAGACGCAGAGTCCACCTCCATTCCACAAGATTGAGGCTGTTCATCAGGAAAATCCAAACAAAACAGACCTCCCAGTAACCACACTCCAAAGAAAACAAAACTGGGGCCAATATCAATCCAAAGATACACTCTAAAAGGTAAGTAGAGTATGCTTAATACATATGCTTTATACTTAATAGTAACTTCTCAGTGTACAAAATTTCCCCAAGTTATATAATCTAGCCATACAATATCAAAGTATTTACAATAACAAGATAATACAATAAATTGTCAGTTGCTGCCAAAAGCCCGAAGATATCAGTGGAATTCCAAAACAGTAACTGTTGGCAGTGAAAAGAGTATAAGGCTTATAAAGCTTAAAGCTAATGAAGCTTGACGAAGCAGCCAGCTTGTAATTGGTTTCGTCTAATGACTTCCTCATAAGCAGCTTAACTGATGTTGTATACAAGTTTTCTTAATGTGTGTATT